CTGCCCGCAGACTCCTGGAATACGGTGGCACAGACACTGCCAGCAGATTTCTGGGATACGGTGGCACAGACATGCATTGTACAGACACTGCCCGCAGACTCCTGGGATACAGTGGTACAGACACTGCCCGCAGACTCCTGGGATACGGTGGCACAGACACTGCCCGCAGACTCCTGGGATACAGTGGTACAGACACTGCCCGCAGACTCCTGAGATATCGTGGCACAGACACTGCCCGCAGACTCCTGGGATACAGTGGTACAGACACTGCCCGCAGACTCCTGAGATACCGTGGCACAGACACTGCCCGCAGACTCCTGGGATACAGTGGTACAGACACTGCCCGCAGACTCCTGAGATATCGTGGCACAGACACTGCCCGCAGACTCCTGAGATATTGTGGCACAGGCGATGCCCGCGGACTCCTGGTATACATTGTTACAGACACTGCCTGCAGACTCCTGGGATACAATGGCATAGACACTGCCCGCAGACTCCAGAGATAAAGTGGCACAGACACTGCCTGCAGACTCCTGGTACACAGTGGCACAGACACTGGCCGCAGACTCCAGGGGTATTGTGGCACAAGGGATGCCCGCGGACAGGCATGGAAAGGTAAGTACTGTGAGTGGAATTTATCAAAACTGGAGCAGACAAAATCTGGAGCAGCTGCGCACGGCAACCAATTAGCTTTTATATTTCATTTTCAAAGCTTAACTGAATAAACAGAAGAGAGAAACTGATTGATTGCCATGGGCAACTGCTTCAGATTTGATAAATTCCCCCTGTATGTCTTTCTTCTAAATTGGCCATGTTATAACATTTTTACTATGCGTTTATTTTAAAATATCCAGGATGTGGGGGAAGTTCCTCTTTCAATAGGAATGATGTCAGCCGTGCTATAGATACTAATATTAGAAAGTAGCCGGTTATTTCCTGGAATTTATATAATTTATACACATGTTCATGTTCTCGCAGGAGGTGCACCAAGCAATGGCAATCCCTACATCCCCCAAGCAGGAGACAGTCTGCTCTGACACCTAGTGGTCATACAAAGGTAATACAAGAGCCTGTCATTGGCCAACTGTCTCCTCCCTCTTGCTTTGTAGTATTTTCCTGCCTTGTACTTTCCCAGAACTGTAAAAATGAGGAAGTGACAGCTTCGTCGTTGAGTGAGATTACAAAACAAAGCCACACATCGGGGGGACACAAAGGGGTTCGCAATGCATCAGTACGCAATCCTCGTCTTTCTTGGGCTCGCTATCCCAGGTAAGTGTTACTTTGTACTTTTTAGAGTGTTAGTTAGAGTGTCAGCCTGGTGAACCGACTTCAGACGTGGATTTTGCCTTTTTAGAGTAACACGAGCGCTCCGGGTTTGCTCCTGGAAACCCCTTTCTCAGAAAATGTACAGGGCACCGCTTCCACCGTTCTGGATGCTGGTTTGTGGACGTCATGTGACTGCGCCATGGTCCATATAAGCGTATGCCAATGTGCGGACAGGGTTGTGAACTGTTCAGAAATTTACGGAGAGGCTGAAGAGGTTGCCACAGAGAAATACCACACAGTTATTGCCCAATTGTTGAACATTAGCCAATTACGAAAGCATATCAAAAGCTAGGAGAGTGTTTGTATGTTACAGTGTAATGGCTAATTCCACCTTGATTACCATGTTACATTCTTATTTAGGGTGTAACATGGAACATGGTGCCATTCCATGGCCCTCACCCTCAACCTACACCCCCACCACCACCACTTACCCGATTGGCTGGGTGCTTCTCGCTGCAGGCTCCTGTACATTTTTTTAATTTGACGCGGCTGTACGTGGCTTCGGGCACATTTTTTTCTGTTTGCAAAAGGGTGCTTTTATTCATTTTTGTCAAGAGGTGGAATGTGCCTTTAAGATGTATGTCAACCTTAGAGCATATCAAACACAAAAATGTCATATATTTCGGTTGAGCACTCCTTGGATGTGGTGGCTGCAGTGGCGTCATAAGAGGGGGTGCAGCCCGCACCCAGGTGATACCATTGGAGGGGTAAAACAGCAAAACATTTTCCTGGCACACTCACAAGCTAGCATGTAAGAAAATTTGTCTCACACTAAGCTGGTGACGACTTGATGAGTGCGTTTGTCATCTGTTTTGCTTGACCATTGGAGGGGTGACACCAAAATGACTGCCATTCATTTTGGTGTCACCCCACTCTGAAAAGTCAGGCACTCGGTCAAGGACAGAGAGCCTGACATTTACTCTAGAGAGGAGGGGACCCAGCGGCATACCTTATCCCGCCGGGTGACGTCCCCTCCTCTCTCTGCGGCGTCCATCACCGAGATGGCCGCCGGCAAGTAACAGCGCAATGATGTCACTCGCGTACGCAATGACGTCACTGTGGGGTGTCACCCGGAACTCCTCTGGGTGGCTGCATTAGTTTTATTTTATTTTTTTCTGTTATTTTCACCTGGTGATCCGGCCACGTACACACTTCTTCTGTCTTAGGGTGACTCCACTCTATGGAGGAGCAATGGAGCCACCTTTGGACAGCATCAATGTCACCCTGTGGGGAGGGTGGTGTCAGATGGATTAGTAGATATAGATGGACCTGACATAAATGACTAACAAATTAAAGCCTTCAGCTTAACACTTTATAACCAGTTTTCCTTTTGGGATAAAGGGTTTATGTGAATGAATAAAAGACGACCGTTGTAAACACCCTGAAAAGTGTTAAATGGTTTGTCCCAGCCCTCTATCTCAGCTTGGCCTGGTAAAGGAAGTTAAAAAATAATAGACGTAATGGCCAGGTTAACAGGTAAAAAAAACTATGTTGGGGTCACCATACACATTACAATCTGACCGTACAACTGTTGTCAACTCAACTTTAGATTTGCCAAAACTATGTAATATGAGGACCTACCTAATCTATCCAATCAATTTATATTAGGGATGCACCGATACTGGAAGCAGTGCTGATACTGAGCATTTGGGCAAGTACTTGTACTCGCCCAAATGCTACCCCAATACCGGAACTTCCGGTCAGAGGGAGATTCCCTCTGACTGGCAGTGCCGTGAGGGAGCATGGAGCCGGCTTCCTAGCCAATCAGGAAGCCGGGTGGCGGGTCATAACTTGGGGGTGTAAGGCTTGGATGCAGCTGCTCGGCCATGGAAACCCATTCCATGAAGCTCTCTACGCATTGTTGTTGTGCCAATCTGAAGGCCACACGAAGTTTGGAGGTCTGTAGCTATTGACTGTGCAGACAGTTGGCGACTTCTCCGCACTGTGCGCTTCAGCATGCGCTGACCCCGCTCTGACATGTTACGTGGCGTACCACTTTGTGGCTGTGTTGCTGTTGTTCCCAGTTGCTTCCCCTTTGTTATAATACCACTAACCATTGACCGCGGAATATTTAGTAGCAAGGAGATTTCACGGATGGACTTATTGCACAGGTGACAACCTATCACGGTACCACGCTTGTAGTTACTGAGCTCCTCATCCCTGTCCATACCATGGCACAGACATTCAGTAACATGGACGGGAGGAAGAATGGATGGACTACAAGGGCGGTGATGTCACCTCGCTATATTCCATTTAGAAGTACAAGTCCTGTTGCCACTTTGGATGATGAGACTTACAGGGTTATTCACTAAGCTGCTGGAGGCAGCCGAGTGAATAACCGAGCCGTAGTGAAGTGAGCCGAACAACATTTGGCTATTCACTACGGATCTGAACGGCTCATTTCAGCCGTACAGCGGCTGCAACCAGCCGTACATCAGCTGCCTTCGACTGCGTTCCGGTCAGCCGAACATGCTCAGTATGTTTGGCTGAGCCGAAGTGCAGAAGGACTTCGACTCAGCTGATCCAACATGTGGATCTATTCTCATAGGGACCAAACGGCAGTAAGTGAATAGCCGAATGCCGCCAAGCAAAGGATCGGTGAATGGATGACACGGCTGTCTGGGTGAAGCCATGCACAGCCGTTATGAATTAAAAAAAGAGCGTCAGTCTGCGGGGAGAAGACCCCCACAATTCAGATATGTCAGGAGGGGGTGGGGGTTGTGATGTGATCGTGTTTAATAGTACACCCTGAATATGGGTGTAACATGAAAATGGTCTGAAAGGTAAACTTAGCATGACATGATAGTTTCCTGAATGTTGTGCTGCTTCTGCAGTCCATCTGAGTGACACTTTTAAAAATCAATAAGTGCCACTGGGGCCTGCTCTCACAAGAGCGATATGTTGCATGCTGCAGGTTGGGTGCACCAAACTGTAGTGTGTGAGACATGGACAGCAAGAAGTGAGTATTGAACTCAGATTTCCTGCTCCCAGGCTGCCCCATAACTATAAATAGTAACTTCTTAATATGTCAAATGTCACAAAGAGAGGCCACTCTGCCAAAAAAGAGATCATACTATTCTCGTGGGTGGTCCAAAACTAACAGTGCTTTTAAAAGCCCACCCCTGACCTACTGATATGTAGCTGCCCCACTATTCCCCACCACCCGTGAGTCTCCAGAACCATAAAAAACCTGCTAATGGGTATAAGAAGATATAAGAAAATGGAGAAGAATGTGATTCTTTCACCACAGTGTATTGTTATTATTATTATTATACAGGATTTATATAGCGCTTTACAATATAAGGAAGACATTACAATCACAATACAAATCAAGACAAGATGGCAAGGAGGGCCCTGCCCCTGAGGGCTTACAATCTAATAGGGAGGGGGAAGTAATACATGAGGAGGTAGCTGTGTGGGGATGAATTGTTTGAGAACGTGATGGTGGAGGGGTTAGGTTGAGGTGGCATAGGCTTCCCTGAAGAGATGAGTCTTAAGGGATCGCCTAAAGGCAGTCAGTGTTGGAGATAGATGGACAGGATGGGGTAGAGAGTTCCAGAGTATGGGAGAGACTCGAGTGAAGTCCTGGAGGTGAGCAGGGGAGGAGTTGACGAGGAAGCTGGAAAGCAGGAGGTCTTCGCAAGAGCGGAGGGGACGGTTAGGGTGATACTTTGAGACAAGGTTGGAGATATAGCCGGGGGCAGAGTTGTGGATGGCTTTATAAGTCGTTGTTAATATTTTGAATTTTATCCTTTGGGCTATTGGAAGCCAGTGCAGGGAGGGATCCAGTACAGTACCGGATGTTCTATTGACAGGCCCACATGGTGCCCACACATTTGGGTGGCGGGAGAAAGGATCAGGTTACCTTTTTAAAAAATGTTTAATGTCACTTTTGGGACTGCGGGAGGTGGGTAGAGGACACAAAGCCGCCATACAAAAGGGTGATGCCGCCCTCTACAGGCTCTGCATCTCCGGCTCAGGGTCCCATCCAGCTCCTGGCAACCAGTGACATCACCCAAAGAGATGCCATCTCAGGCAACAGCCTCATTATAGGGACAGTCCTGGCCCGGCAGGGAGATTGCCCCATCCACTCCCCCATTGAGGTATTTTGCCTCATTAAAGAGAAGGCCCTGGCCCATGGGGAGGGGTGACTGTTGCATGAAGCTGCATTGTGTATGATGGCTCCTATGTAATGTGAGCTGTGCATTGTGTGTGCCAGGGTTCAGTTTCTGCTATAAACAACTAAAGATTAGTGATCTCCTATGTGAAGGTTGTCCCAGGTGTAATATAGTTTACTTTACGAGCTGAATATTTCTTTTATACAAAGGCCAATTCCAGCTCAACCTTTTTGTTTTTTTTTTATGTTTGGCGGACAGAAGTTCTAAACCTTCATTATTGTACATTATTTTATTTTTATTTTTTTGCTATTTCACCTTCCTGTCTCACTTTCTGTTGTGTCTGACACCCTTCAAGTAGACAGGAAGTAGCCTGCTCATTTTCCCTCCCATCTCTCTCTTCTTTGAAGTGGTTAATTTGGTAACTCGGTGCAGAAATGTTGTTACTGTTACCAACCAACCAATCCATTCTCCCTTTTTAGAGCAGAAAACAAAAAGAAGATGTTGGTCACTATAGTCAGACATCCCAACCTGCAAAAACTCATTTCAGGGACCTAAAGGGTCAGGTATGAATTGGGAGGGGGGGGGGCGATCTTTATGTTTAACAACAACTAAACTCCATCCAAATAGATACGAATTCCGAAAACGCAAACTTCGCATTTATCCGAATTCCAAATAATGAATTTCAAATAAATCCGAATTTCAGAAAATGAAAATAAAAATCCAAATTAAAACGAAATGAAATTTTCGGTCATGCACATGTCTAATAGTAAACAGCTATAGTGGTCAGCTTGTTAGAAATAAAGGGTCTTTACTGCGGGCCCCTGA